CCTCTTCTTCCTCCTCCTCCTCCTCCTCCTCCTCCTTCTCGTGGTGGGACGCAGTCCTCGTCGTCTTGGAGGTGGTGGGGGGGCGCAGATACCGTCGAATCGCTGTCATAAGGAAACCTAAACAAGGGACGAGGTAACGAGGCCCTTTCGCGTCTTAAACTAGGTTTCGCTTACCCATCTGGGAAACCTGAGAAGGACCTGAGAAACGCTGTAAAGCAAGGAAGGAACACTGAGGCCCTCCCCAACGAAGAGGTTTCCTTCTTCAGCGGCCCTGGGACCAGAACGCTGCGTCGTTGTCGTCTTGGGGCCGCCTGCTCCCAGCAGCCTGTCCCAGGAGAGGACCAGTCGAGGGAGGAGGAGGAGGAGGAGGGAGGTGGGCGGAGGGGCGCCAGGATCTTCGACGGGACGGAGGGTGGTGGAGGAGGACAAGGAGGAGGCGGAGGAGGAGGGAGGACGGGAGGCGAGGACGCGGGGGCTTGCGCAGGGACGGAAACGGGCGGGGGAAGGACAAGGGCAGCAGCTGCAAAGGGAGGGCGGGGGTGGACGAAGATGAGGAGCGAGGAAGAGGATGGAATAGAGAGGAGGGACGGCCAGGGCCCCAGACCAGGGGGAGGAGGAGAGACGAGCGACGAGGGGGCGGAAGGCTGCCCGCGCCCGCGCCGGCGGCCACGCGGCAGCGAAAGGCGGACTGGGAGCCTCCCACCCGTCGATAGGCGGCCGGCGCAGGGGCTCCCGCGCAACGCCGGGAGGGTGTTTTGACTTCAGGCCCAGGAGGCTGAGATGGGGGGGAGGAGAAGGAGAAGGAGGAGGGGGAGGTGGAGGAGGAGGAGGAGGATGAGGAGGAGGAGGAGGAGCGGGAGGTGGAGAGCGGGGTGTGGCAAGCAGGTGCGCTCACGCCATACCCCTGACGTCCTATCAACCCTTCCCCTCTCTTCCAATTGCGCTGATTGAGCTTTTATTCAAGGCCCATAGCCGATCTGAAACTCCAAGAGAGACCCCATCGTGTCATACGCAATCGATCAAAAGATGAGTTGCGTACATAAGAGGGGTAGGATCAAGTGGCGGGTGAGCAGGAACATGCGCAGGAGGAAAAGAAGGATGAACGAGGGATCTGTCGACCCCCATCCCAAATTACGTGGGATTTACCCCACGAAGTCTGGGGTGTGTCGGAATATCCCCCCCCCTTGGGGCGTATCCCAAGGTTCTGCTCCTTTTCTGAACGGCTTCACCTTTGGCTCAAAAAGTCCGTGGATGGGGGAGGGCGAGGCCGAGCAGCGGCAACAAGAACTGCAGTGGTCAACAACGGAAGAAACAGGAGGGCCAAGGGAAGGCTTAGAGGCTTAGCAGCAAAGAGGGGGGTGACAATGACGAAGACGGGCTCGGAACCGGAAGAGTGGCCCACGCTGCGGCGAGAGCGCCAGCATGAACGGCGGGAGCACAGCGCCAATCCGAGAAGCAGTGCTCCGAAAACAATGGGAGGGTAAACCAAGCCGTGTGCTGAAGTCCTGCTTGAACAGTATGCGCGGCTTCTCGCGAGGCCAGGAGGTCCCAAGACGGGCGAGGCAAAAGGTGCTCAGACCACCATCATAGTTCATGATACCGCGTAGAATGGTTCCACCCGAGGGGGATGGACGGCGCAGGAGCGCGATGCCAGCATGGACACAAGACTTGCAGACAAATAACTACCGCCAGCGCGGCAGTGCGGGGCGCCGCGGCTCTTATTCTGACAGCTTCCTTCCACACAGGGTCAGGGGGGAGAGGAGAGAAGTATTCAGAATGTGTAGATGTAGAGCTTCGTGCCTCCAGAGTCTCGAAGGTAACCCACGCGCCCTCCATGTAAAAGAAACGCAAGCCCACCCCCTCGCGTCGTGCCAACAATCACGACGGAGGGCTTCTGCGAAGTTTCTGCACGTCGGGTTTCTGGGGCAGCCCATGAAAAAAAGAGGAGACAATGCTTTCGCTACCTTTATATAAGCCCCCTACAAGCCTGCCCGACTAAGTCCCCCTTCCATCTTCTGCGGCGGTCGCCATAGGCTCGAAGCTATCGAGCCCGATGTTATGCTGTTGCTCGTGGATTCCAGCCCCTGGAGGTCGATATCAGACCCTAGGTCGCACGGGAATGAGTCGAGACTCGCAGATGCCGAGAAGGACGCCAGAAACGAAGATCTCGAGCCAAAGTTGCGCTCACTCCCGATAGATTTCGGTGGCAAGATTTCAAGCTGAGAACTCACGACCAACCTCGCACACCATGCACACCGCGGCTGCCAGGGATCTACTGACCAGGAACAATCCACCCCCGGGTCCGTCGGGCTCTGCAGGATCCTGCGCCCTGGCCCAGGTCGGTTCACCCCTGGCTCTGCAGGATCCAGGGGCTCCCAACTTCGCGCTCCGCGAAGCGCGAAGTGCGAATGACTTCGCGCTCTCGTGCCGCCTGCCCAGGGGAGAAGAGGAGGACGAGGACGAGGAGGAATCGGAGCCGAGCCGCGAAGCGCGAAGCGCGAATGACTTCGCACCCTCGAGGGCGCCCTTCAGGATCCTGCTAAATCCGCCGCTCTGGCTGACCCCCGTTGGCGCAGACCCCCGTCTCGTGGCCCCCGCGGCGGGCAGGCTCCGAGGCGTCTGGGTGCTCCCTGGGGCCCGCTGATGGGCTTGCTTCCCACCACCACCACCTCAAGTTAGAGGAGGACGGGGTCCTCCTCCTCCTCCTCCTCCTCCTCCTCCTCCTCCTCCCCCTCCTCCGCCTCCGCCTCCGCCTCCGCCTCCGCCTCCTCCTCCTCCGCGTCCTCCTCCTCCTCCTCTTCCGCCTCCTCCTCATCCTCCTCCCCCTCGTCCTCCTCCTTCCCCCCTCCAACTTGTGGTGGTGGTGGTGGTGGACAACAGGCCCATCCCCCGCGGCTTCAGAAGGCCACGAGGTCGGAGTCCTGGGGCCACGGCGTGCCCAAGAGGCAGGATGGGAGGGCCAGGACGAGGACGGGGCCCGCGCCTGTGTTCCGCAACGGCTCGCAAACGCAGGGTCAGACCTCCCTCTCCCCGCTGCGTGAAGGGGCGCGCGAACTCTTGAATCGGCGATAACCCGGGTTATCCGGGGGGGGGAGGAGGGGGTCGGCCGATAACCTAACCTTCGGGCTGTGGGCAGCCCTGCATGTGCCCGCGCCCCACCACCCCGGACCTGCACAACCGGCAAGCTCAGGCTATCCCGAGGGGGGGGTAGGAGGGGGGGCAAGCCCGGTCACCTGGGTCATCGCCGGACCCGAAAAAACAGTCTCCTCGGTCGGGGCCTGGCCACACTCGGGCAGCGAGGCAAAATCCCACGCGCGGGGGGGCAGCCATCCTCGTGCGAAGGCGTCCGCAGGCCGCTCACGCGGCTCGCTGCGGCGGAGACGAGGGCGCCCGCGCGCGCCCGCTCTCGGGCAGACCGCGCGCCTCACGCCCGATCATCCTGCGGCGCTCGCGCGGGCGGCCGGGGAGGCAAGACCACAGCGGCACGCCCCCACGGGGGAGGCTGCAGATCGCGGAAGGGCGGGGGGGGGTGATTGAAGCTCGGGAGTCTGGGGCGTGCTCGCCATGTGTTGGAGGGCCTCTCGAGGTCTCTGTGAGACCAGCCCGTCGACCGCCCAGTCAACGCGCAGGGGTGGCTCGCGCTCTCCCCCGGGGCTGGCCGAGGCCACGGGGGAGAGGCTCTGCAGGTCGACCGCGAGAGGCATGGTGAGCCCTCGGCGAGGAGCAGCTGCGCATGCGACAGGAAACCTCAGCAGCTCATCCCGAGGAAGCCTGAGAGTACGGTCGACGTCGGTGTTTGAGCTCTCCAAGGTGCTCAGGTGCTCCGATGGGTCCGAGGGGGCAATCGGGGAATCAGAAAGCCCCATGGCGCACGTGCAGGCAGGCGGGCTTATTTTGTTGCATGTGCCCATCTACTGTATCGAAAGGGCCGGGGGGGGGAGGGAATGGTTCGAGTCCGCGCTGCCGCTTTGCACCCTGGTACCCCCGCAGCCCGTGCCCCAGGTGGGTGGCGACATGCGAACCCTGCCCCCACCAACCATGTATTCTCCTGAATCGTTGGGAGGCGGGGGCAAGGTTCGGACAACGCCACGTGCTCGACGAATTCCGAACCCTACACCACAGTCGGCCCGCATCATGAGGATGCGCGACAAGGATGCAGGGACCCTGGACGCCCATTCCGAAGCTTCTCGAGCGGGGCGCGGCCAACGAAAGTGGCCACGGAGGGACCGAGGAGGCAAGAATGCAAGGGCACCCTGGGGAAGGGCCCCCATCCCCAGAGATTCGATGTCGTGATTCTTTCAATGCGGGGTTCCCGGAAGTTTCGACCCACTCCCCAGGACCGGTTTTTCAGCCCGAGTCGTTTCTTGACGGTCCCGAGGCCCGGCGAGGGCCCCCAAAGGCCGAACGCTCCAGAAATCCTCCGTGGTGATTTCTTCCATGCGCTGGATCTCTGGGCCCTTGCCGTGCGGGCCGACTGCACCCCCCGCCGCCCACCGAGGTTGCCCCGACTGGCCGGTCGGCGAGGACGGGGCTCGGACGGCGAGTTTTGCAAGAGCAGTGCAGCTTCGTGGGCCCTGGAACGACAGGGCCGTTTTTGTTACCGGTTGCGTTCTGCCGTTTTTGTTGCCGGTTCCGACGCCGCTTTCTTACCCGTTCCGTCGCCGTTGTTTGACCAGTTCTGGCTCCGGTTCTAATCCTGGATCCGTTTTTTGCCGTTTCCGGTCGCCGTTGTTTTCCCGTTTCCATTTTCAAGGGACAGACATTTGTTTGGAAACGGTGAAAAAAACGGCCCTGCCGTTTCCGGGGCCCACAAAGCAGCGCAGCATAGCCAACAAAAACAATCAACACTTGTGAACCAAATTCGGGAAACGCGTTTCCAGACCAGGTCGTGCCCTGTTTGCATCTTCCTCCTGTCGATGGACATGCCCGGCTTACGGCCAGCGCGCACACTCACTCTCAGGGAGCGGGCTTCGCGCCGCCGCCGCAGCAGCTGCATCGGGCTAGGCGCGCTGCTCCTGGCGGCCGGCTTCTAGAAGACCAAGGGGCGGGCCGACGACGGAGGCAGCCCAACGCAGTGTGAGGAGACCGCCCCACATCTCGAGTAGGAGATCGACGGCAGAATTGATTCACCCAGAATGTGATTTGTCTGAAGATTCGAGATGCATACTTGATCAAGTCGAGTCCACGGTGTACGTTTGCTGACGACTCGATGTGGACCTCAATTCTGGGGTAGATGAATTCTGTAGTCGATCTCCTACTCGAGCATCGGCTCCCCCGCCCCCCACGCCCCGAATCCTGGGATGGTCACCCAGGCCTGGTCACGCTGCGAACCAGAACACCGGCGGGGAGCTTCTGGCGACGTCCTCCGGGGAGCCTCCCTGGGCCAGGGGCCGAGGAAGAGCCAGGCGGCATCCAAAGCGGGCCTCTTTGAAAGGGAGCGAGACCTCTGCAGGCCCACGCTTTGACGCAAACGCGACGCCGGAGCTCTGGGAAGCAGTGGATACAAGTGCTGCCCTATCCAGGCAAGGGGAAACATGACCCTACGGGCTGCACGCAAGAGTGACCCTGGGTAAGAGTGACCTTCGGTGCGCGACTTTTGGGGGGCCGCGGGGGACCAAACCTGGGCGCACAAGCAGCTGCGACTGCTTCGTTTTCAGCCATCTGGGGACCCATCTTTGCCCGCACCAAAGGTCACTCCTGCGAAAGGTCACTCTTTCGTCTAGTCGACCCTGGTGTTGTGGTCGGCCGGTCCATTTCCAGCATAACGGTAGCATTCGTCTTGTACTTGTCGAGCATGTCAGTAGTGGTGTTCACAACATGCCACCCAGGCGTGTGCAGCAAGTACTCGTACGCTGACTGCGCCTCGGATCTCTCCTTGCTGATGCCCGGCGCGACCACAAAAGGCTCGTGCGGCGCGAGGCGGGCGGCCCAGAAGGAGAAGCTAGAGTCAGCGATGATGATGTTGGGCATCAGCCCCAGCATGTAGAAACTGTTCGCCTCGCCCAGATCTGGTGGCACTGGCACGCGCCTGCCACACTGCTGGAGAACCGACGTGACCTCCATGGCCTCTGCGATGTCGTCCGACAGGATGAGGCACGTCAAGGATGACTCTGGGTGCCGTGCCTGCACCGCAGCCAGTGCGTCCGTGTAGTATTGGATGGGCATGTTGCGATTCGTGTACTTGTAGTCCCCCAAGCGAATGTGAATGCCAACGTACGGCCCCTGTTCGCAACCGAGAAGAACTACCAACCACACCCCCCCGCTGACAGAAGCGAGCAAGGGGGAGCGGAAGACGAGGGGTGCGGGCATGGATGTATGAGCCAAAAGGCAAAACTCATTGAGCCATACGCGGAAACTGGAAACAGCTTCTGCTGCCTCGTTCACTTGCGGGATGTGAAAGGAAACGCTCGCCGGATATACTTCTGAAGGGATAGTTGGCCTGGGAACACCAAGGCCGAGCACTGGAAAGACGTGCGTCCACCCGTGTATCCAGCGCTCGCCCAGGCCAATCACGTCACGAGCATCCAATCTTTATTAAGCCGTCAGGCTTGGCCCCCCCACCCCACCCCGCCTTTTCGTTATACATGAGCCACTTCAGGATGTCTGCCGCCTGCTCTGCCGTAGGCTGGTGCCAGAACGCCTCCCTCACAAGGTCCATGTGCTCCATGAAGAACCACTGGTCCTGGAAGAAGCCGTCGAGCTCCCAGGTCTCGCACAGCGTGCCGTCGGGCAGCGTGGTGTTGACCATGGCGTCGGCCCACAGCTTTGCCCAGTTCTGCCCCGGCTTTGGGTCGATCCCCGTGGGGACGTGTGCGGTGCCCTTCTCCTGGCCCCAGCCTTCACCGGACAGGCAATCCAGGGGGGCAGCTTGCCGTCGAAGCCAGGCTTAAGAAAAATCGGCCCCAAGGTGCTCCAGTTGTCTGCCTTTGGTGTCTGTTCCATTGCTGCCCCTTTGTTCCACCTGTTTGTTGTTGCTTACAGGAGGAATGTACGAGGAGAGCGTGCGTTTTTAGCCGCGGGGAGCGCAAGAGACTGATCCCAAACCCTCAACGTGTATCAAGAACCAGGCCCAGGCCCCCGTGACCTCCCCTCCCTCAGCCTTGGATCCCCTTCCCCCCTGCTTCTCCTTCTCCTGCCCGCTTTCCCCCCGCCTGAGCCGCCTCCTTCTTCTCCTCCTCCTCCCCCTCCTCCTCCTCCTCCTCCTCCTCCTCCTCCTCCTCCTCCAATGCTGGAGCCCTCTCAGGGCTAACAGGTGCCCCTGGACCGCCCGCCCGCCCCCGCCTGTCCACACGCTCAGGCGCGGCAGGCCAGTGTCCACGACGATCGGGGTCTGGTCCCAGACGTGGCACAGGTTGGGCCGATGCTCCAACGTGGCGTAGTCCTGCGGCTCCCAGACCAGCGAGGCGAGACCGCGCATCTGCGCCGTGTCCTTCGGCTTGTACTTCAGGCCGCGGACGACGACCTCTGGACGGGGGGAGCAGGAAGGCGGGGAGGCGAGGTGCGAGGAACGGATGCGGGGGTCTGCAGACCCACGTGTTCCCGACCCTCCTGTGCTCGAGTCGAGCCCTGGTGTTCCTCCCGCTGCGCAGCGCGCCCGCCTTGGGTGTCTGCTCCATGGGAGCCTGCTAGTTATTGCCCCTGGCGCTTTCCGATTTGGGCCTGGTTTGGAACACGTTTGGGGCCGGATCTGGACCAGACTCGCTGATTTCCGAGTTCGGCGCTGGAGGCCCCCTGGCAGCGCCTCTGGCGGCGCGAGGGGGTCCAGCGTGGATTCAAGAAATCAGCTTGGAGCATGCAGCCCAGGGTGGGGAACTCGCATGTCTTTCTCTCTTCATGTCGGCGCACCCATCACGCGGATCGCGGACCAGAAGGAATTGCATCACATCTACAATTGAGGAGCTCGCATAACGCTCCCTCCCCCTCACCTACTTCTGCATGTCCCTGACGCGGATCCTGCCTCCGAGGAAACTCCAACCACGGCCCCAGTGGATGGCTTGCACATCGCCACCCGCCAAATTCGACACGCCACTAAATACCCCTGCGATACACGCAGCTGCACATGCAGCACTGTTCACAGAACGGGCTGGTGAGGACACTCGCGTGGAGAATTCTGAGGTTCCGGCTGCCCTCAGCGCCGGAGGGCCGCGCCCAACAAGCCTGGTATCGCCCCAGGGCGCAATGCCTGGAGCCTGGGCATCTGCTTAGAGCGCAAGGCGCAGCTGTAGTGGCGGCGGCGCGCGTTCGTCGGGGGCACCGCCTTGGGATCCATACTCGTGGACCTCGGCAGGCGGTGGATACGAATCGATGTGCAACATCACTGCCCGAATATATCCATATGCACCGCCCGTTGAGGTACCGAAGATCGACTCCCACAGGTGGTGCTTATGGGCAAACCCCCGCCTCGGACCATCTACATGGCCTCAAAAAGCCAGTAAGCCGTGCGTGGTGCGGTCTTGTGCCTGTTTCGTAGCTGGTTCCGACGTGAGCGACTCGGCGGCGAGCCTGGGGTGAAGTGAGAAGGGGTGGGCCTTCTCAGAATGCTCGGAAGTCCCCTGACCTTCTGAAAAAAGCCTTCCCCAGAGACTGGGAGAGCCTCTCCGCCGGCGGGCTTCTGAGGAGCCCCGTCGCCTTCTGAGCAATCCTCCTCCTCCTCACCCTCCCCCCCTCGCTCGCCGCTGACATCCGGGAGGCCCAGAACGACACCGAGGACGGCGGCGGCGACGACTGCGACAACGGCGCCGGCCGCGTCGACGCAGCGGGCGCCGCGCGTGCCATGCGGCTGCAGGCCCGCCTCTCCGCAGCGCCTGCGGCCGCCTCGGCAACGCCAGCGCCGCCGCTGCGGCGCAGCGGGCGCCGCCGCGCGAGACGGCTCGTGCCCGCCGCAGGAGGAGGAGGAGGAGGAGGAGGAGGAGGAGGAGGAGGAGGAGGAGGAGGAGGAGGAGGGAGCAGGAGGAGGAGGGAGGAGGAGGAGGAGGAGGAGGAGGAGGAGGAGGAGGAGGAGGAGGAGGAGGAGGAGGAGGAGGAGGGGGAGGAGGGAGGAGAAGGAGGAGGGAGGAGGAGGAGAAGGAGGAGGACGGAGGGAGGAAGGGAGGGAGGGAGGGAGGGAGGGAGCTAGGGAGGGAGGGAGGGAGGGAGCTGGAGCTGCTGGAAACCCAGCCCCCTTCGGGTCATGGCAGAAATCAGGACGGGATGCCTGAGTGCTGATTTCCTGCCATCCGGGGGGGGGGGCTCTCGCCGGGCGTCGGGCTCGCCCAACACCGGCTCGGAATCAGAGAGAAGGCCCGGGGGAACGGGTCGAGACCTTTTTGGGGGTCGAGCCCTGCAGCCCTCGAGCCCTGCAGCCCTGGAAAACTCAAAGGGGCCCTGGGACACGCAAATAAACACCCACACCTCCCAGGATCCCCCGTATGTTTCCAGATGTTCTGGATGTTCGTCGTCCTCCCCCCATGGTCCATATGTTACCATATTTTATTTGGAAATGACGATTGATTGTGTCTGTGTGTGTGTGTCTGTGTGTGTGTGTGTCTGTGTGTGCGTGTGTGCGCGTGTGTGATGTGTGTGTGTGTGAGTGTGTGTGTGTGTGCGTGTGCCTGTGCGTGTGCGTGTGCGTGTGCTTGGATGCGTGTGCGTGTACGTGTGCGTGTGCGTGTGCGTGTGCGTGTGCGTGTGCGTGTGCGTGTGCGTGTGTGTGTGTGTGTGTGTGTGTGTGTGTGTGTGTGTGTGTGTGCGTACGTGTGTGTGTGTGTGTGTGTATGTGTTTGTGTGCGTGTGTTTGGTGCTGTTCCCCTCCTGAAGCAAAACAACAGCCAGGCGCCCAATCACTCCTATCCGCCCTTGCGTGGGCTGCGGTCGGGCACGTCTGCTCGGCGTCGAGGCGGCGGCACCCCCGGAGCACACTGCGCCTCGCGGGATGGTGGCGTGCCACTCTGCCTGGTGGGGCAGGCTCTTCGGACGAGCTGGGGACGCAGACGCTCAGGAATCTGGAGGTGCTCGGCGTGTTGCGCCGATGCGCTCCTTCGAAGAGAGCGCGAGGGAAGGATATCGTCCTCGGCATGTTTGCCATGGTTCCCCGGATGCTTCCGAAGGCAGCGAGCAACAAACGAAGGTCCAACACCTCGATCGCCGGTCCGAAAGGAGAAGGGAGGCAGCGCAGGACGGAGGAGGAGGGGAGGTGGAAGAGATGTCTTCCTCCCCAGAGCGGGAGGGGAGGAGAGGGAAACGCTCATTACCAGTTTGCCTTGCAACTTGGTGCTATCATCTGTTGATTCGGGAGTGCATGGCTGGGTGCCTCGAAGCCCCCCTCCTTGGCAATCGAGAGCAGCGCCGCCCACTGGAAGAGGTGGTTGCCGAGGCGGCCACGGTTGACCTGCGTGACCGCGACGCCGAGGACGACGCCCACGACGGAGGCGGCCGCGATGACGAAGGCGACGACGACCGCGGCGGCGATGATGCCCGCGACGACGGCTGAAGCGGCGTCGACGAGGGCTGCGGCAGCGTCCACGACGATGGCAGTGACTACGACGACGACGGCGGCGGCAGTGGCGGCTTCGACAACCACGGCGACCACGACGGCGGACGGTGGCGACAACGGCGAAGGCGGCGGCGAAAAAGGCGGCGACGGGGAGGATGGGGGGCGGCCAGGGCCGACCTGCGTGACCGCGATGCGCCTCGTTGGGGCGTCCCGCTGGTGCACCAACACGTCTACTCTGCACTCCTGAGGGGACATATGTCGGGGTGCCTTCGGTCTTTTTTCTTTGTCCTCCCCGAGACACCACGGGCTCTGGGAACCTATGGGGACCTCCGGGGGCCTCCGGAGATCCCCGCATCCAAGCCGTCATGGAGAAACTACGGCAGGTGACTACTTCGAGGAGGAAGGAGGGGTGGCACCAGGAGGAAGAGGAGGCAGAGAAGCAGGAGGAAGGGGAGCATGGAGGATGCTATTAGGAGGAGGGGTCAAGGGAGCAAGAGAAGATCGAAGAGGAAGGGGAGGAGGAGGAGGAGCAGGAAAAGGAGGGAGGAGGAATGGGAGGACAAAAACAAAGGAGAACCAGAGGAAATCGAGGATGCACCAACGGTGGAGCCATGCACATTCACGTCCCAAGTCTTTTCCGCCAAACTCCCCAAGCGCATTCCTTGCCACTGCGCGGAGCACCACGTGGGCCTGCCACTCAGCTGAGACCCGTGCCCATGCATGAACTTCGAGAGGCGCGCCCCAGAAGCGAGCTTGCACGGCGCGCGGGCGGCGCCCCAGCCCCCGAGGACGCGATTATCTCCACCGCTCGCGCTTGATGGGCTCCACCGCGCGCGCTCGGGGCGGCAGGATGAGGAAAACCTCGAGGAGGAGTCCAGGGTCTGGAAGCCAGTGGGAAGCCGATCGTCGGGAGCGGCCAAGAGGGGGGGGGGGTCCAAGCGGGGGGGGTGCACATCATGACCAGCGGCATGTGCGCGGCCCAGGGGGGGGGGGGGCAGGGACGTAATGGGGTAAGAAGAGGCGCCATGAAATCTGGGGGGGAAATATCTTGGCCCCCGCCATGATATCCCCCCCCCCCAATTAGTCATCACCCCCCTCTTTGCAGCCCCCGAGCATTGGCCGTGGATCTCACCGCCGCCTACAAGGGGATTTTGGGCGAAAAATGAAAAATACGCAGAAAATGCCCCTCGAATGCTCAAACATAGTCAACACATCGTCCCCGGACTATTTCTTGACTATTTCTGAATATCCCTTCTGTAGAGGGACAGGCCCGACTTAAAGCCAGTGGGAAGCCAATCGTGCAGTGGCCGTGGGTATCACCGCTGCTCTCATCGGAGAAGGAACCCCCTCCAGGGCCTGCCCCACCGTGCTGCAGGCTCGTGCGGCCTCGGCACGCGCAAAGGCCTCTGGCGCAGACCTCCCCGCGGCGGGCACGCATCGCGACGGGAGGCACTCCTCCATATGCTCACTGGGGCTCTGCTTCTTGATATGTTCGTCGGGGCCCTGGCGCAGGGGCGGCGGAGAGGTTGTTGGGGACGGGCCTGGAGCCAGGGATCCAAGATCAGACAAAAGCGGACGCGTCGAGGTCCGTCTCCTCTTCGAGGAACAGCAGGAGCAAGAACAACTGCAACGCAGGGCAAGAGCAACTGCAACGCAGGGCTTCGCAAACCCGGGTCAGCCAATCTGCGCGGCCGCCTCGCAGCCACGAGCGGCTGTCGCTGACCTGGGTCAGCCAGGGGGGTTCTTCGCAGGATCCTGCAGGATCCAGTGCCCTGGCCGGCCCCCGTTTGCACTGACCCCCGTCTCTTAAGCTCCGAGTTCAACCTCCAGGGCACAGGCCGGGCCTCGGGGCCGCCGGAAAAAACGATCCAGGATGAGAGACTGGTCCCGGGGAAGGGGTCGAAACCTCTGGGGGTCGACCTTGCGAACAAGATCACGACGCCGGCGTTTGGGGTCCAAACTTGAATCGATCGCGGCCCCGATCGTTCAAGGTTGCATCCCTCCAGGACCAGTGACGTCACCGTGTCCCTCGGTGCTGCCGCGTCGCAGAATCCAGCCTTGAACGCCTCCGCCTCACCGGCGTCGCTGGCGCGCCGAAGCCGCATGAACCTGCCGTTCCTGGCCTGGAGATTGACAGCGAAGCGAGACAGCCTCAACGACCCCTGCGGCATGGACCGACCCACCATGAAATCTTGGCATCCCACTCCCTCCGCGCCGGGCGTCTCCGCCGGGCCTCGGGCCCCGGGGCCGCGGCAGATCGGTCGGGCTCGAAAAGCGCAGCAGAAAGATGGGGCCTGTATTTCCTCCTCCAGCTCTCCTCCGCCTCCCCTGCTCCTCCTCCTCCTCCTCCTCCTCCTCCTCCTCCCCTCCTCCTCCTCCTCCTCGTGCTCCTCCTTCTCCTCGTGCTCCCTCCTTCTCGTCCTCCTCGTGCTCCTCCTTTTCGTGCTCCTCCTCCTCCTCGTGCTCCTCCTCCTCCCCTCCCTCCCCCTTTCCTTCTCCTCCTCCTCCTCCTCCTCCTCCTCCTCCTCCTCCTCCTCCCAGAAAATCAGCTATCAGGGCCGCTTCCGAGGCGGCCGACACCGGCAGAGGCCATGCCAAACGCTCGGACACGAAGGCCGGAGCAGTCCTCGCCGCAGACCGGCTTCTTGGCTCTGGGCGCCCACACGCCGAGCCGCTCCGCCTCCGCCTCCTGCGCGGGAAGAAGAACCTGCATACACGTTACGCATCCTGGCGAAAGATTTAACCATATGCAGTTGAATTTAAGGCCCTATAGGCCTATGGGGCCACGAAACGTTTGAGGGGTGTGCCAACATGGATGCGGGGTCGCATGCGAACGTCGCCACTGGGGCCTTCGGTGGAGCTCTCTATGGGGCCACGAGGCGTGTGAGATGTGTGCAGGAATGGGCGCGGGGCGGCATGCGAACGCTCCCGCTGGAGCCTTCGATGGACCCCTCTATGGGGCCACGAAGTGTGTGAGAGATGTGACAACTTGTGCGCAGGGCGACATGCCAGCGCTCCCGCTGGGGCCTTCGGTGCAGTTCACTTTGGGGCCACGGAACGCGTGATGAGTGTGCCGTAATGTGTGCGAGGTCGCGTTCGAACGTCGCCACTGTTGCCCTCGGTGGAGCTCCCTTTGGGGCAACGATATGTGTGAGATGCACCGAAATTCGTACGGGGCGGCATGCGAACACTCCCGCTGGGGCATTCGGTGGAGCTCCCCATTCGGTCACAAAACACGTGAGAGGTGCGCCGACATGGGTACGGAGTCGCATGCGAACGTCGCAACTAGGGCCTTCGGTGGAGCTCCCTAAAGGGCCATGAAACGTGTGAAGGATGTGCCGAACTGGGTGCCTGGTGACATTGGAACGCTCCCGCTGGGGCCCTCGGTGGAGCTCACTATGGGGCCACGAAGCATGTGCGGTGTGTGCCGGCACGCGGGGAGACATGCGAGCGCTCCCGATGGAGTCTTCGACAGAGCTGATCATAGGGCCATGAAGCGCTCGAGGATAGTGCCAACTTGGACGCAGGGGCGACATGCGAACACTCCCGCTGGGGCCCTCGGTGGAGCGCTCTCCCACGAAACGTATGAGGGGTGTGCCGAAATGGGTGCGGGGCGGCATGCGAGCGCTCTCGCTGGGGCCATCGGTGGAGCTCCATGTGGGGCCACGAAACGCTTGAAGGGTGTGCCAACTGGTGTGCGGGGCGGCATGCGAACGTCTCGTTTGGGGCTTCGGTGGAGCTTCCTCTGGGGCCACGAAACGCGTTAGGGGTGTGCCGGCATGCGTGCGGGGTCGCATGCGAACGTCGCCACTGGGGCCCTCGGTGGAGCTCTCTGTAGGGCAACGAGATGTGTAAGAGGTGTGCCAAAATGGGTACGGGGCGGCATGCGAACGCTGCCGCTGGAGCTTTCGGTGGAGCTATCTATTCAATTTCGGCCACGAAACACGTGAGCGGTGCGCCAAAATGGGTGCGGGGTCGCGTGCGAACGTCGCCCCTGGGGCCTTCGGTGGAGCTCTCTATGGGCCACGAAACGCCTGAGGGACGTGCCGAAATGGGTGCGGGACGACATGCGAACGATCCCGCTGGGGCCCTCGGTGGAGCTCTCCCGCGAAGCGCGTGAGGGGTGTGCCGAAATGGGTACGGGGCGGCATGCGAGCGCTCCCGCTGAGGCCCGCGCTTGAGGGGTATGCCGACTGGGTTGCGGGGCGGCATGCGAACACTCCCGCTTGGGTGTTCGGTGGAGCTCCCTCTGGGGCCAGGAAACGCGTGAGGGGTGTGCCGAAATGGGTGCGGAGAGGCATGCAGGATCTCCCGCTGGGGCCTTCGGCTCCCCATGGGGCCGCGAAGCGCTTGGGGGGTCTGCCGAAAGGGGGTGGTGCGGCAAGCGAGCGCTCCTATTGGGACTTCGGTGGACTCCTTCTGGGGTCACGAAGCGCGTGAAAGGTGTGCCGACATGGTTGACAGGAGGAGGGCAGACGCAGAGATGGGAGGAGTGAGGTGGAGGCGACGGGAGGAAGGAATGGGCGCGAGGCGCTCTCTCTTCAAAACGAGGAGCCAGCACCACAAGATGGTCGGGAATCAGCTTTTTGATCGTGGGCGTCCAGGAGGGGAGCATCCAGGAGAGAGAGGTCCGCAAAAATCCTGGCCGGAGGCACGTGCGCGGACGATGGGGGACCAAGGGACGTACTGAAAGAAACTGCGGGGCGATGACGTGTGGGGAGATATGATGGCACCGGCCATGGTATCCCCCCCCTAGTCATCACCCCCTCGTTGCCTGCCGTTGGATCGGCGCTCGACCCCCTTGTTGGGGCGCGCAGAGCGCGCCTGATGCGGCGCCCGAAGCGCCGCCGCGCCGCCAGGGGGGGCCCAGAGCAGATCAGATTGAGAAAGGCGCGAGGACCTCCGAAAAAGCACGTTTACGAAGAGTTCTCCCACCCGATCCTCGGTCTCGGTCGCGTCCGCGTGGTCATCCCAGCCCCACGCCCTCTTCTGGGCCGCCGCGCCCTCCACGGACAGCGCCTGACGACGACATCGTACGACGGGAGCGTTGGGAGCACGCCTGTGCAAGTCTTGCTCTCGCCAGCTTCGGCAAGCAGACCCGGGCCCGCTTTAATTCCGCCGGTCTCCGCCGAGGCAGAGGAGGCAGGCCTGCGATGCTCCGAGGGGCGAGGCCGTCTGTGCGGGAGCGCCCCGCCCAGACGTCCCCTCCAGCAGCTATGTTTTACACCTGCTCGGGCAATCCAGGGCCCCCGACCTCCCGACACATTTCCTCCCCCTGCTCCTCTTCCTCCTCCTCATCCTCCGCCTCCTCCTCCTCCTTCTCCTCCTCTTCTTCCTCCTCCTACTCCTCCTCCTCCTGCTCCTCCTCCTCCTCCTCCACCTCATCCTCCTCCTCCTCCTCCTCCTCCTCCTCCTCCACCCCTTCCTCCTCCTCCTCCTCCTCCTCCACCTCCTCCTCCTCCCTGGGGGTCGTTTTTCGACCCGGATCCGCTCTTGAACGTCCTGGCGTTAAAAAAAAACGGGACTGAAAACATCATATCGTCGGACATCCGTCGACCCTGTCGGCGTGTGTGAGGGGCTCGTCTGTTCGAGTCGTCGTCTCCGTCAGTCGTCGTCTCCGCCGTCCCCTTTCCCTGCACCCTCCTCCTCAAGCCTGTCACTGAGAGAAGCATCTACCAGTATCGTAGTCGAGTCGAAGGGAAGTCCCTTCCTCTTGATCCTTCCCCCGTCGGGGGGGTGGTCAGGGGCGGGGTCCCGGTGGGGCCACTTATTCCAACCGACCGGGTGCTAATCCCAACCAGCTGGTACTTTTTGTTCAACTAGCTCGACAAGACAAACTGGTAGTACTTCCAATTTGCCCAGTAACCTTGCCGTGTGAATATAATCGTGAAGCGATGTCAGAACATCCCAGGACAACATGCTTTCATTATTGCCTCGGTTGAAATACGAGGTTTGCTCGGGGATGTTACCGTGAAGGTTTCAAGGTTTGAGGGTTAAGGGCTCAAGTGCTTAAGGATTCCAGTGATTAACTGTAAAAGGGGTTATAGGTTTAAGGACTGAGGTTTTAAGGCTCACATAAAGGTTAATGGCTTAAAGGTTCAAGGGCGTAAGGCTTATAAGGGGTCAGGGTTTCGGGTGTCAAGAGCTTAGAGGGCTCAAGAGTCTAATGACTTACGGGTTTTCAGTTTTCAAGGCTTACGGGATTAAGGATTTACAGGTTCATGGGGCTAGCGGCTCGCAAGTTTGAGGGTTTGAAGGCTTACGGGCTAAAAGGCTGAAGTTTTTAATGGCTTGAATGGTGAAGGTTTTATGTGTTTAGGGGCGCATCGGCATCACATGTTTGTTTGTTGTATGTTTTATTGTCTAAATGTTTGAGGGCATAAGAACTTAAGGATGTAAGGATTTTGCGGCGTGCGAGCTAAAGGGTATCGGGGCTGAAGGGTTTAAGTGCCGAAGGGTTTGATGCGACTTGAAGGTTTGAGGGCTTAAGCTTTTAGGGCTTCAACGGCTTAAGAGCTTGAAGGAAGGAGCTGGCTCGCGAGGTGGGGAAGGAGAGGAGAAGGAGGACGAGGAGGTGGAGGGAGAGGAGGGAAGGAGGACGAGGAGGAGGAGGAGGGGGGGGGGAGAAGGACGAGAAGGAGAGGGAGGATGTATAGGATAATGCGGAGGAGGCGGGGGAGGAGGTGAGTCAGGTGAATCAGAACATGTAGCAAACTCCCTCGCATCCCGCGAGCAGGCGGAAAGACTGCTCGCGAACCAGACGGAACCTGGCCAGCGCCAAGCGCAAACTGGAGAACGACGCCTATCAGACGCCTGTGGGTGTTCTCATGGAGACTGGTTGGAATTCCTACCGAAGTGGTTGGAATTGGTTTTAGTTGATTGCAACTTGTCTCATTTCTGGTCCTGGGGGGGGGTATCAGGTACGCATCCCCCCTGGGGGTCTTGGGGCCGATGTCCGCGCGGAGTTTTTGGCTCGGCACTGGATCCTTCTTCCCAGCGCGCGGAAGCGCCGCCAGGGCTGGAGGCGCCGCCAGGGGGGGGGGGGGGCAGCGCCGATCCAAGGAACACGCGCGGCCTTCCGAAAACTAACGAGTGTGTGGAAGAGGAGGAGGAAGAGGAGGAGGAGATGTTCTCGGGCCGGACGAAAGGGGCCATAGCAAAAGGGGTGTCCGCGAATCTCGCGTAGCGGATTTCCCCGGCGCCTCGCGGCGCGGGGGGCGTGTGTCGACGAAAATTCCCAGCGGCGGGGCCAAAACCAGCTGCATGCAGCAGATCTCATGCTCTCCCCCTTCCCGATCCCCCCCCCCCAATCGACCCGACTCATTTTTGCGCATTCGCTCGCTGCTCTGAGCCCAGACCCCGGGCGTCACGATTTCTGTTCACGACTTCGACACCCAAAATTAGGTCTCCGAACATTTCTTGGGGCTGCTTGCTCATCCCGAGTCGTTCTCTGACGGGCCCCCGAGGCCGAAAATGGAGAAGCACCTCCTGTCATGTTCTTTTTTCCACGACGCGAGGGGGTCTTCGAACGGCGACGGTGATGACGGCGGCGGCGGGCGGCGGCGACGGCGAGCGGCGGGCGGCGGCGGCGCGCCCGCGCGGCGCGGGGGCCGCAGAGCGCGGCGGCGGCGAGGAGCGCGGCGGGGGCCGTCCGCATGCGCGCCCTTTCCGGTGGGGAGCGCATCGGGGTGCAGATGGAATGTATGTCCGACCAGCCATAACTAATGCGGGATGACGATTATAAAAAAATGGGAGAGAACGATTAAACAAAATAGTTACCTGCTATTTCTGCACAATTGTCTGACTGGAGGAGAACGATTAAAAAGAATAATTTTCCAGCCCGCGGCCGGTTTTTTCTAATCGTCATCCCGGCGCCGCCGCGTGTGAACACGACCCCCGGTCATTTATTAATCGTCATCCTCCACTAGGGGAGCTGTGGCCCTTACCCCCCGGGGGGAAGCCATCGCATCGGCGATCTCTCGAGAGGGGTGTCGAAATCGAGGTGCCCCCCAGGGGGGGGTAGGGACCGCAGCTCCCCCAGCTATGGCTGGCCTGTATGTGAGGGCACTGCGGCAGCCTGAGCCGCAGTGGCTGCACGTGAGAGGCTCTCTCTGTCTCGCAGCTCTGCATTCCGAGCCACCTTCTGTGGCACCTCGCGGGAGCCTCCCGAACCATCCAGTCGGCTCTCGCGAATCGATGCTCATCGACGCGGAATCGACGCTCATCGATGCTGAATCGACGCCAATCGACGCTAGCCGACGCTAATTCGGCGCTATCTCATCCAATCCCAGACGCTACTCGACGCTTGTCGACGCGAAAGACAGAATTGCGAGGGTACACGCGGCTCCCATGATTTGCGGCCGAACCCTGCGGCAGCCTGAGCCGCAATGACTGCAGGTGAGAGGCTCCCTTTCGCAGGACTGCAGCCTGAGCCATCCGGGCATCGCGGGTCCCTCCCGTCGGACGGGGAAGGACAATGAGAACCGAAAAGACGACGGTGTGTACAGAGGAAGGATCAAGGTAAACCGCGCGGATTTCCGGAAGTCTATGTGTAAGCCGTTGCTGCTACACCTTCGAGTGTATGCGCGGGCTCTGCAGAACCTGAGCAGCAGTGGCTGCAGGTGGCGAAGCCCTATTGCTAAGAAAGGCACCTCTGCCGGGCAGCCGCGCGGCCGCCCAACGCCTGCGTGGCACGCCTGCACGCCCTGCCGCAGCACTCGAAACGGCGCCAGCGCCGATCCGAACCAGGCGGGGGGGGGGGGGGGCATCGAGGTAAAGGTCGGGAGCGGCCAAGAGGGGGGTGTCCAAGAAGGGGGGGGTGCAAATCATGACCGACGGCATGTGCGCGGCCCAGCGGGGGGCCAGGGACGTATTGAAATGAGGAGGCGCCATGAAATCTGGGGAGATACCATGGCCCACGCCATGATATCCACCCCCCCCTAGTCATCACCCCCCTCTTTGCCGCCCCCGAAAAGGTAGAATGCCGCATGGATCTCCGACAATCTACGTTGTTGCGATCTGTAGTTCTTCGAGTGTATGCTCGGGCCCCGCGGCAACCTAAGCCACCATCACCACCACCACCACCACCACCAGAAGTTGGAGGGGGAGGGGGTCCTCCTCCTCCTCCTCCTCCTCCTCCTCCTCCTCCTCCTCCTCCGACGACGACGACGACGACGACGACGACGACGACGACGACAATCTATGTTCGTGCGATCTGTGGCGCTTCGAGTGTATGCTCGGGCCCCGCGGCAACCTGAGCCGCAGGGGCCGCAGGCGGCCCACGCCGCCGCCCGCCCGCCTCTCTCGGCACTGGCGTTTTCTCAAGTGCTCGGCCTCTGGGGCCGGATGCGGGGCTGTGGGGGGGGGGCCACCGACGCAATCAAAGAGGGTACCGAGGACGGGTGGTGAGGACGCACTACCTCTGGAGGCCAACGTTGGGGGATTCTCTTGATGGGCCTGCTTTCCACCACCACTACCATAAGTTGGAGGGGAGGAGGAGGAGGAGGAGGAGGAGGAGGAGGAGGAGGAGGAGGAGGAGGAGGAGGAGGAGGACCCCCTCCCCTCCAACTTATGGTGGTGGTGGTGGAAAACAGGCCCATCATATCTGGGCCGCGGGCGACCCGCGAGCGCGGCAAAGGGACGGGCCGCAGAGGCCAGGACGCAACGGGCACCCAGGATGACGGAGCGCGTCCTCGCTGGGCGCGCTGGCCGCCGAGGGGTCTTGGGCGTGGCCACCGGCCCGACGGGAGGGGCCCGGGCCCTACGCGGCCCCGCGCCGAAGCCATCGTGACGACGCCGGGTGCCCGGGGAGCTGCCCCGGCGGCCCACGCCACAGGGAGGCGACGGGTAGGGGAGGGGGGGGGCTTAGTACGGCAGGGCCGTTGTTTCACCGGTTCCGTTGTGCCGTTCTTTATGCCGGTTCCGACGCCGTTTTTTCACCGGTTCCGTCGCCGTTGTTTGACCGGTCGCGGCTCCGGCTCGAATCCTGGAGCCGTTTTTGTGCCGTTTCTGGTCTCCGC